GAACTTGTAGTAAGCACTATTATTTATTAAAGCTAATTTTTTTCAGTAAAATATTTTAATTGCTTTCCTCATTATCTCCCTATAAACTACTCCCAAATGAGTAAGTTTAACTCATTTCTTCACATATAGAGTGATTTCAACAAGTTCTGACTTGTTTGTAATCATAAATTAAATAAGTGTTACCTTCTGTTTTCCCCAGTTTTGTGTTGAATCAATCTTCTCTGCCAACAAATATTAGTTTGTAGTAAAAGTATTTCTTCCTACAAACTATGACTTGTGTGGTAAGAACTTTGTAGACAAAAGTGATTTGTATGGGCAGAATTTGCAGGGCTAGACCTTTCCAGACAAAGATGTATATTTTGTGAGGTAAACTCTTTCCCTACACGCTTTGCCCCACAAATCTCTCCACAAAATTATTTTGTGGGTAAAGAGTTTTCCCTACAAAATCAATCCTTTCCCCACAAAACTAATTTGTATTAAAAAGTGATAAATCTTGTAGTGTGCAAAGATTGAAATATCAAGGCCCCCTCGAAACACATCTAAGGATGAAGTGAAACACGAGAATGATGTTAAGACATTTCAGCTCCCTAAAGCACGCACAAATGAAGGATTTGACCCAAACGCGTACAAACTTCTAACTAAGGCTGGGTATAATCCCGATGAACAGATTTTGGGAAAACTCATTCCAGAAGCTGGTGGTGAAGGGAAACCGAAGCAGATCAATCTTCGAGGGCACACAAGATTGGGTTATGTTCAGCCGAAACCCATAAGGATCCTCATAAATAGAGCCGCAACGCATCATATCAGTGCTGGTGAAGAAGATGAAGTGACTTCTAAACCGAAGTATTCTGTCTTTGATCGGATTGGGGGGCAAGATCAAGGCCCGCCATATTTGACAGAATGGGGCCAAAGCCAAAGAAGATCATGAAGAAGACTTTAGAAGAAAGGCTTGGAATGATCCCGATAAACGTGAAGAACGTTGAAGATCCATGTAGTGGGCAAAATTTTGCGCGGAAACCAATACATGAAAGGTTGGGGAAAATTCGCTCATGTAAGAGGTCTTTCAACCAATATGCAAAAGCACAAGCTTCGAATGAATGCAGAAGCTTGATTCCGTCAAGAATGAGACGAGAAACTGATGTGAAAGTCTCATGTGGAGAAACCCTCAAAGCACAACTCAAAACCATAGTTCATACTCAACTGCTTGAAAATAATGAGTTGATATCTGATGAACTAGCCGATGACAAGGAATACATTGCCTCATCTTACCATGTTACTTTTGAAGATGAAATTCCGGCCGAAGGTGAAGATGCTGATGAAGCTCCTCCTGAATTTGAAGACGGAGTGCGAACTGCCTTGGATGAATTACAAGAAGTAAACCTTGGCACCGAAGAAGATCTTCGCCCCATTTATATCAGTGCTCTTCTCTCAAGTGAAGAAAAACAAGAACACTTGGCCTTACTTCGAGAGTACAAGGACGTCTTTGCATGGACATACAAAGAAATGTCGGGGTTAGACCCAAAGGTCGCTGTTCATCACTTAGCGATAAAGAAAGGATGTCGACCAGTAAAGCAGGCTCAAAGGCGCTTCCGCCCAGATTTAATCCCGTTAATCGAGGCAGAGGTAGATAAACTTATTGATGCTGGGTTCATCCGAGAAGTAAAATATCCTACTTGGATAGCCAACACTGTCCCGGTCAAAAAGAAAAATGGACAAATCCGAATATGTGTTGATTTTCGAGATCTGAACCTTGCTTGCCCAAAAGATGACTTCCCATTGCCTATCATTGAATTGATGATAGATGCTGTGACTGGACATGAAATTATGTCATTTATGGATGGTTTTTCCGGTTATAATCAAATCCGTATGGCTCCCGCGGACGAAGAATTGACTGCGTTCCGAACTCCTAAGGGAATCTATTGCTACACGGTCATGCCGTTCGGACTTAGGAATGCTGGAGCTACTTACCAACGAGCTATGCAAGCAATATTTGATGATATTCTCCACAAAATCGTGGAGTGCTATGTTGATGATCTCGTGGTGAAGTCAAAGGCCCGAAATGAGCATCTATCTCACTTAAGAATAGTATTTGATCGCTTGAGAAAATTTGGTCTCAAAATGAACCCTCTGAAGTGTGCTTTTGGAGTTTCAGCTGGGAAGTTCTTGGGATTTATTGTTCGTCACAAAGGCATTGAGATAGAACAAGCCAAGATTGACGCTATCGTGAATATGCCTGAGCCTCGGAACATTCATGAGTTGAAGAGTTTGCAAGGGAAATTGGCTTATATACGAAGGTTCATCTCGAACTTATCGGGAAGATGTCAGCCGTTTAGTCGAATTATGAAGAAAGGTGTGCCTTTCATATGGGACCAATCATGTCAGAATGCGTTTGATAATATCAAGGCTTATTTGATGAAACCACCGGTTTTAAATGCACCCGTTGCTGGCCGCCCTTTGATACTTTACATTGCAGCTCAAGAAAGGTCTGTGGGAGCTCTTTTAGCTCAAGAAAATGACAAAGGAAAGGAGAATGCCCTTTATTATTTAAGTAGAATGATGACTCCACATTAATTGAGGTACTTGCCCATTGAGAAGTTGTGTTTGGCTCTCATATTTGCAATCAAGAAGCTCAAACACTACTTCGAGGCTCACATTATAAATCTAGTCTGTAGGGCGAATCCGCTGAAGTATGTGATGTCTAAGGTGGTTCTATCTGATCGTCTTGCTAGGTGGTACTTGATATTTCAACAGTTTGATATCGTCTATGTCTCACAAAAGTCTGTAAAAGGACAAGCTTTAGCAGATTTCCTGGCCGATCACCCTATCCCTGCCGAGTGGGAACTTTCCGATGATCTACCCGATGAAGATGTGCTTATAATTGAAGTTTTGCCTCCTTGGAAGATGTATTTTGATGGTGCTGCACATAGAGAAGGAGCCGGAGCTGGTGTTGTCTTTGTTACACCCGAAGGTCAAGTTCTGTCCTATGCTTTCACGCTTATGGAACAATGCTCCAATAACGTCGCTGAGTATCAAGCACTCATCCTCGGACTTGAAATAGTTGTAGACATGAAGCAGACACGAGTTAATATCTATGGCGATTCAAAACTAATCATCAATCAAGTGCTTGGAATCTATGAAGTCAGAAAGCCTGAACTACATCCTTACAACAAATATGCAAGGGCACTCATTGGATGGCTTGGTGAAGTTACAATTGAACACGTACCGAGAAAAGAAAACAAGCAAGCTGATGCACTAGCAGGGTTAGCATCAAACATGGCACATCTTGACGATGAAACTCAAGTACGGGTATGTCAAAAATGGGCAATTCCTCCTTTCATCGGAGAAGATGGTGCAGCCGAAGAGATAATCGAGATGCCAACTACATCGGTTTATGATATTGAAAATGAAGATTGGAGACAGCCACTCATTGATTATTTTACAGATGGGAAGTTACCTGAAAATCCCCGCAAGAAAGTAGACCTAAAGAGGCGTTCACCACGTTTCATCTACTATAAGGATACACTTTATCGAAGATCTTTCGATGGTGTATTCCTTAGATGTTTGGGTGGAGATGAAGTCCTACAAGAAATGGAAGAGGCACATTCCGGAGTATGTGGAGCTCATCAGTCTGGTCCTAAATTGCACTTTCATATCAAGAGGATGGGATATTACTGGCCGACTATGGTGAAGGATTGCATGGATTATGCTCGGCGATGTCAAGCATGCCAATATCACGCAAATTTTATCCATCAAGCACCGGAACCATTACATCCGACAGTAGCATCATGGCCATTTGACGCTTGGGGACTTGATGTAGTTGGACCAATCACGCCTAGCTCATCAGGAGGGCATTCATACATACTAGCCGCTACTGATTATTTCTCAAAATGGGCTGAAGCAGTTGCATTGAAAGAGGTAAAGAAGGAAAATGTTGCTGATTTCATCCGAGTCCACATTATTTACCGCTTTGGCATTCCCCGATATATCTTGACAGATAATGGGAAACCTTTTGACAACAAGTTGATGGACAAGATATGCAAGTTGTTCGACTTCAAGCAACGAAAGTCCTCTATGTACTATGCTGCCGCCAACGGCCTTGCTGAAGCTTTCAATAAGACTCTCTGCAACCTGTTAAAGAAAGTAGTGTCAAGATCGAAGAAAGATTGGCACGAAAGAATGGAAGAAGCACTAGGGGCATACAGAACGACTTATCGAACACCTACCCAAAGTACTCCATATTCTTTGGTGTATGGTACCGAAGCAGTTCTTCCCCTTGAGCGCCAAATACCATCTTTGAGGTTAGCTATTCAAGATGGGCTCACTGATGAAGAAAATGTCAAGTTGCGGTTGACAGAACTCGAGGCACTTGATGAAAAGAGGCTAGAAGCTCAGGAGAACCTAGAATGCTATCAAGCACGTTTGTCAAGATCTTTTAACAAGAGAGTTAGAGTTCGTTCTTTCCAAGTTGGTGATAAAGTTCTAGCTGTGCAAAGACCTATCATTATTACAAGGAAAACTGGACACAAGTTCTCGCCGAAATGGGATGGTCCTTATGTTGTTCAAGAAGTATATTCAGGCGGTGCCTACAAGTTGGTCGACGCAGACGGCTCAAAGATTGGCCCGATCAATGGGAGATTCCTAAAGCTCTACTACCCTTGATATTTGGGGTATGCATATGACCATAAGAAATGTTGAATGGCTTACACCACCAATGATGTTGTAAGTGGCTAAACTGCTAAAACATTTCACTTTGTCTATGGGTGAGCATAATCATAGATACTCTTGGCCCACGAGAGTTAAAAATGTGTACGGCAAGCTCCTGGCCCGCATGAGTTAAAACTGTGTACGGCACCCCACCTCTTTTTAGATTACCAATTCAAATGGTACCTATGAACTACGTTTGACTTGATCTCCTTCATAGGAGTACGTAGGCAGCTCAAAAATTTCATTTTTGAGTTCAGTTATAACAACACAAACCCCAATAAAGTTTGATCTTGGTAAAAAAAAAAGGAAAAGTAAGACGATATCAACTCATGAGGAGCAAGAAAGCAATCAAATATATATCCATATATAGTTTGATGGAAAGAAAAGAAGGAGAGTGCTAGCTGACTAAAAAGCTAATCTATAAACAAGTAAAAAACAAACTAAGCCTAAAAACAATTTAAAGCTGACCAAGTCATCCTTCAAAGCCTCTAGCTCCTTCTTCTGGGTACTTAAAGAAAGCTGATCTTCGTCTGATGCTTTGATAGTCTTCAAAATCTGTGAAGATTCCTCCTTGGCTTTTGTAAGAGCTGCATCTAAGTCGCTAGCTTCTGCATGATGCTGTAAAATCAAAGCTTCTACTTCCTTAGCTTCAGCTTCCAATAAGGTTATCTTCTTCTTGATTTCATTAAGAGATTTCTCGTCATCAAGTAATGCGACCTGATTTTGAGATCTCTTAGCTTCAATATCTGCACAAAAAGCTTGCAACATATCTAATTCTCGAGATTGCCTCTCCGTGGGGACCCTGTCAGCAATAGCAGAACACTTCTGATCAAATGCTTGCGCCCTTTCAAAGAAATGCTTCACCTTTGTCTTCAACATGGAAAGGTCAATGCCTTCCTTCTCCATCAAGATAACACAACTCTCCACACTTTCCCGAAAAGAAGAGACGTTCTCTGTTGTAGCCTTTCCTAACTTCTCCTGAATACCACACCAAGTGTCAATGAGGAACCGCTTATACAAAGGAAAGAAGTAGTTCTCTGCTTGAAAAACGGATACAGCCGGTTTCACATGAGGGGACTTCGGTATCTCGTTGGTTGGAACTTCTTTGCAATTACTTGGGGCAATTTTTGCCATCAACCCCGCAACGGTGTCATGATCGTCAGTTTCTCCTTCACTTGAGCTAGATGAAGAAACATGATTTGAAGAACTAGCATCATCAAGGATTCGTATACCCAAAGAAGGGAGAATCTCGGAAGATGGCTTATGAAGGAAGCCAGATACTAAAGTCCGCATAGTTTGATCTTGATACTCGCACTCAGGAGTCCAGTCTGCAACCCGGTAAGACACAACAGTCGCACCCCAAAACTCGCGAGCGAATGGCCTAAAAATCTCCAGAAGGATTTCTTCGCCATTCTTCTTTTTTGATACAGAGATATACTTTTTGCCTTCATGCGTTACGGCTCTAAAGTATACCATTTTGGACTGCAAAAAAAAACAAGTGTCATTATTATTCTTATTCTTATTATTATTACAAAAAAAGTAATAGTAATAATAATGATAATAATAATAGAAGAGGCAGCTCGATGATAATAATTGATCTCAGGTCGAAACAATTGACTTCATATTCTGATCAAGCGAACGAAGAAATCAGTAACACCGGCCAATAATTATCAAGCTCCCTCAAAATGAACAAGAGTCAAAAGTGGCGGCAACATCTCAGTTCTCGAGCACCGACGATCGGGAATCAGCGTAATTCTTCAAATCGGTGCTATCCCAACAAAGGGCTAAGCAGCACCGATGGCCAGGAATCGACCTGATTCTTCAAATCGGTGCCATCCCAACAAAGGGCTAAGCAGCACCGATGATCGGAATCGGCTTAATCCTTTAAATCGGTGCCATCCCAACAAAGGGCTAAGCAGCACCAACGATCAGCAATCGGCCAAATTCTTCAAATCGGTGTCATCCCAACAAAGGGCTAAGCAGCACCGATGATCGGAATCGGCCTAATCCTTTAAATCGGTGCCATCCCAACAAAGGGCTAAGCAGCACCGATGATCAGCAATCAGCCAAATTCTTCAAATCGGTGTCATCCCAACAAAGGGCTAAGCAGCACCGACGATCGGGAATCGGCCTAATCTTTCAAATCAGTGTCATCCCAACAAAGGGCTAAGCAGCACCGACGATCGGGAATCGGCCTAATCTTTCAAATCGGTGACATCCCAACAAAGGGCTAAGCAGCACCGACGATCAGAATCGGCCTAAATCTTTAAATCGGTGCCATCCCAACAAAGGGCTAAGCAGCACCGACAATCAGCAACCGGCCTAATTCCTTAAATCGGTGCCATCCCAACAAAGGGCTAAGCAGCACCGACAATCGGAAATCGGCCTAATTCCTTAAATCGGTGTCATCCCAACAAAGGGCTAAGCAGCACCGACAATCGAGAATCGGCCTAATTCTTCAAATCGGCGCCATCCCAACAAAGGGCTAAGCAGCACCGATGATCGGAATCGGCCTAATCCTTTAAATCGGTGCCATCCCAACAAAGGGCTAAGCAGCACCGATGATCAGCAATCGGCCAAATTCTTCAAATCGGTGTCATCCCAACAAAGGGCTAAGCAGCACCGATGATCGGAATCGGCCTAATCCTTTAAATCGGTGCCATCCCAACAAAGGGCTAAGCAGCACCGATGATCAGCAATCGGCCAAATTCTTCAAATCGGTGTCATCCCAACAAAGGGCTAAGCAGCACCGACGATCGGGAATCGGCCTAATCTTTCAAATCGGTGTCATCCCAACAAAGGGCTAAGCAGCACCGACGATCGGGAATCGGCCTAATCTTTCAAATCGGTGACATCCCAACAAAGGGCTAAGCAGCACCGACGATCAGAATCGGCCTAAATCTTTAAATCGGTGCCATCCCAACAAAGGGCTAAGCAGCACCGACAATCAGCAACCGGCCTAATTCCTTAAATCGGTGCCATCCCAACAAAGGGCTAAGCAGCACCGACAATCGGAAATCGGCCTAATTCCTTAAATCGGTGTCATCCCAACAAAGGGCTAAGCAGCACCGACAATCGAGAATCGGCCTAATTCTTCAAATCGGCGCCATCCCAACAAAGGGCACCAATAGCAACAAAGTCAGCACCATCACCTCTTGTCCGCTGCACCAATGAAGCTGCTTCTTCTCCTCCAACAAGCAACACGTTTTTGGATTCTGGCAGAATAAGCACGTCAATTTTCGATGGTTCCGGCAATAATCTCCCTGGTCATCTCCTTCGCACTAAGTACAAGAACAGCGTAAAAAAAAAATGATTGAATTCTTTCTTCTCGCCAAAGCTGCAGCAGAGCAAATCGAACCAGCACGAGCGTCTCTCTCCGGTGAATGGCGCCAGCATCAACTTTTTCTGTCATCTTCTTCGCACGCAAGTACTCTAGCAGATTAACGAAGTGAATTCCAAGGAAATAAAAATCAGCAGCAACCTTTCTTCGCAAATCATTTGCGTCCATAAAGCTCTGGCCGGCCAACATCTCCTCCAATCAGCGACCCTCAGCCTCGGCGGCATAACAGCATCGGCGGCATAGGAACTCCATCTTCCACGAACAGATCTACAAGCCTTTTTCCCTTCAAGCAGCAGCTCCTCGCCGGAAATCAACACCTAACTTCGGCCATACCTTCTTCTTCGATGAGCGTACGGATGGAGGAGGAAATCGGCAACAGTCCATCTTGAAGTCTCTGTTCGTTGCATCAACAAAAATCTGGCCGGTGGCAATTCAATCTGGAACTCGACCCTCCTTGAGCTCAGCTTTTGATCCAACAGCGGCAACAACACTCTGGCCAGCGACAATCTATCTCAAGTTCAGCAATACCATCGGCGGCAACGCCGCAGACCCTTCTACGACACCAAGTCAGATTCCGAAAACAACAGGGGCAATAGCGGCTTCCCCTGAATCTCGAATTGACACCAGCTGCCGGCAGGACCAGTGATTTGCGGTTTTGGCTCGTCTTTTGTAGCTCTCTTCCCTGCAAAACACCAAAAGAAGGAAGAATAATAAGAAAATTAACAGAGGTTTACCTGCTGCCTTTCCTTGCTCTATGGACTACGGAGTTGCTGAATTTTTTTAATCTGCCGCAGAATTATAAATAGGATGCCTTGCAGGTTGATATTGCCCCTATTTATAGTTGAATATGAATCGGTATCCCACGCTGAGAGAGAGAATTCAACAAAGAGTAAACTTATGTTTAAGGCGGTGATAGGAGTTCAACTGGAATTCTAATTCGACAAGCATAAATTACTTGGGCTGGATATTTGAATTAGAAAAAAAGAGCTGCCCAGATTTTTCAATTGTTTGAGCGTTATTCACGTTAACAGAAGAGCTTGAACCTGATTAGAAAGGGTGGAATTAGAGTTCTAATAGAATTTCCAAGTTAAGAGTACGAGTTTTTTTTTTTTTTTTTTAAGTTAAGGAGACTTCAATATTTGGTCCTTATCCCTTTGAGAATGTACACGATTGGGATTGTACAGATTGGTTATTTAGGCCTGCTTATGACGAAGATCCAAAATAATTTCAATTGATACTTGGTTATATTTGAGCGGAACAAGGACAGGCTTTATTTCAAGCTAGTGAGAACAAATGATTTGAGCCAATCATTTTGCTTGAAATTATGTTAAGCACTCAGAACTATTTCTGAAAGATGAGGTGAATATGGAATATTATTTTCGAGACTTACTTTTACCTCTTCAGGTATTCAAGCAAGTCTCGAGGGGCATTTGTGGACATATGAAAATTATTGGACCAATTGGACCTCTTAAAATCTATCAGACTATTCTCAATCACTTTGGGCCTCTTTCGAATGATATTTAGCCAACGACGATCTTAGTGGGCTGCTCGTGATGGTGGATGGGCTTTTCAAAAATATTAATATGCGTCCATTCGGATATAATTTAGTGATTAAATTAATTTGGGTTATTGAAAATAAATTAAATCCTTAAAAGAATGGATTGGTCTTATTAATTTCTTGATTTTGAGCCCATTATTAAATAGTGGCCCGATACATAAGAGACATGATCCAATTGATAAAGAGAGCAATGAATCTGGTTAAGAAATATGTCCGTATGCATGGAAAATGGCCAAGAACCTTATTAAAAAAGCTGTCCAAATACATCGGACAAATGCTGATTTTTCTAGCTATTAAAATGCAAGCAAATAGAGCCTGAAGCCCATTTTTATTGAGGCCCATGAGGTATGGACGAATTTTGGAATCCTAAAGCATATTTCATCCCCCTCCACACCTATAAATAGGAGTCTCAGTTGAGAGGAATGGGAGGAGAACTTCCAGACGAAGAAACGCTGCAGCAAAGCTCTGAAGAACTCCCGAAAGGCTCTGAAGGATTCCGAAGAAGAGGAAGAGATCAAGCCACGTTTTTGTCAAGAATATATGAATAATCCTTTGTGATTTCATCGATTCTTGATCAAACAAAGCCAAAAGTTGAAGAACGTTCGAAGATCTGAAGAACGAAGCTTGAAGATTCGAAGATCTGAAGAACGAAGCTTTGAAGATTCGAAGATATGAAGAACGAATCTTTGAAGATTTGGAGATATTCATATGAAGATTGAATCAATATTCAATTGAAGATCAAGCCATATATCCCGGGAAGCCCTTTAACAGAAGATCAAGCCACATAACGGCCCTTTTGTTGAAGATCAAGCTACTTGAAACCGGAGGCCCTTCAATATTGAATTTTGCATTCAAGAAGATTTGAAGATCTGAAGAACGAAGTTCGAAGATTCGAAGATCTCAAGAACGAAGATTCGAAGAATCAAAGAACGTTCGAGTTTTGAAGAATTAGAGATTTAATTTTAAATTAAATTCTTTAATTATATTCATATCAAATTGCAAGTGAAGAATCAGAGGATTCATATTTAGAGATTGTACCCGATATTTTCATATATTATTATTTGCGATCAATTTTAAGTAAATACTTAAAATTTGTTTCACAATCGCATCACTCTCCATTGTTCCAATCTTATGAGGGCGGAGGTAGTAGTTATTGATTACACTTAACTTAATTACTTGTAATTATGCTCAAGTTATAAAGTTCATTTGACCATTTTAGTGTAGAATTAAACAGGAACGTTTTTTTTCTTTTGAGTGTTGATATATTGTTGGAGGGTTAAATATGAACAAACAAAAGTAGCATGCAATGCCGAAAGGAAAACGAAAAAGTTTGAAAACAGAGTAGTATATTTAGAGATAAGTAATATTTAGTAGAAATATAATGTTAGGAAAAAAATTATCGTTCGAAAAAATTTCATTGTTTTTTTCCAAAGGAGTTCAGGCCGGGCCACCAAATATTTGTCGACTCTATATATGAATAAGGATGTTTTTACTTGGACTGTAATTTGCCCCAGACCAGACCAGACCAGACCAGTCCAGACCAGATCAGACCAGACCAGTTCAGACCAGACCAGACCAGACCAGACTTGGATAGTTATAAAAATACAAAGAAACCAGACCTTACCAGACCAGACCAGACCAGTTCAGACCAGACCAGACCAGACTAGCAAATTACAGTCCAAGTAAAAACATCCTAAAGCACAAAAAGAGTTCATCACGTTAGTATACTTTGTAAATACTAGTAACACAAATATTAATGAACGTTTTGTGGTCGCTGAATTAGCATGTTTTTTTATTTGGACTAGTTTTCATCCCAGACCAGAATTAGACAGGTTAGACACTATGAATCGGTCCAAGTAAAAACAACACTAAGATATTAAACACAATCTATTATTTTCCGGAGGTTTTCTATGAAATTGATTCTGATCGAAGGCTATAAAAAAAACTAGATATTTTTTAAAATTCTAGCAGCTACTTGTTTTGGACTTTGGAGCATCCGATTCTTTTTTATCCCTAGTAGTCTAGTACTCGTAATATTCTTTTGCATGAATGTACAACAAGTAAATTGTAGAAGTGATTTAAACAAAAGCGAAGGGAATTACTCCGTAATACTTTTATTACAATGCATCTATACAAGGGAAAATTACGTACGTATGACTATAAGTTAAGAGATTTCTCAATATATGACCTCTAATGTTTATTACCTCATCTATGACTATGCATGTCATTTAAAGAACGGTCCTATTAAAAATTTGATCAATAAAAGACCATTATAGCCTTAAAATAAAACGGGCATTAGCAGTGCGCAGCAGATGAAGATGATTGGTATCTAAGTTAGGTCAACCGACTCAATTCCCGTCCGCCGGAAAATATTAAACGATTGTAACCGGTTTCTTGAATGGAGTGGTTCAGATTCTTCCCAAAAAGTCATGTGCGTACATGCTCTTTTCAAAATACGAACAAAATGAATACCAGCCACATGATGATGTACATGCTTAGAAGCACGTTTTCTAAGAAGTTCAATTAAGCAAGTAAATTAGCCCTAAATTACCAAATAACTACACCACTGCAAAAAAAAATCCATTCATATTAAAATGTTTAATGATCGAAATACTCTTATTTAAAAAATGTGCATTGTACACTAATTTTTTCTAATTAAAAATATTGCACTTTATACTCAAATTACTGCGTGACATTACTGCACGACATTACTGCACTTTTGGTAACACATCATTGCACTTTCGCAAACATTTGTTCTCTTCTCATTCACTTTAGCAATTTATTTATAGTTTTTTAGATTTAATAATTGCATTATTTTACAACTAATTAAATATATTACATTTCATGCGGGTGATACTGTTTTACATCATTGCACTATTTGTCATAATTATTGCACTTTCCGCCAACGTTATAGCACGATCTATTGCCTCTGATTCACTTCACAACACACTTCATCAATATTAGTGCATTCCTTCATTGCCAATATACAACATTATATATTGTCATATTCACTTCACATACTCAACCATATTTATTGCCAGCCATGTTCACTGGTCATGCCCACTGCCTACGTTCACTGCCCATGTTTAATGCCCAAAACTCAAATAATTTCAAAAGTGGAAGAAGATGGAGAATGATAATGGAGGCAGACGGTTGGGTGGTGGCGGCAAGATTGGGACAGAGGTGCGCGGTTAGGCGGCGACTATAGGTTGGCGCAGGGACAGAGCAACGCGGCTGGGCAGCGGCACACATGGATTAGGATGGCTGTGGGGTGCATGGATTGGGATGGCGGCGCCCATAGATCGGGACGGTGGGTGCACATGTCTTGGAATGGAAGCGGGGCAAGCGTGCGGCTGGGCGGCGGTGGCGAGCAAGCGCGCGGCGGTGGCGCGGCTGGATGATGGCGGCTAGACGGTGGTGGCATGAGTGGACGATGACGGCAGACAAGCATCTATAATATCTTGAAAAAGATTTCAGAAATTTTGTTGTTAATGGATAAGAGATAGAACATGAATAAGAGGTGAACATGATTTGCTAATGGATACAGAGCTTACCTTCGATCTGCAATTGATCAATTGCTATTAATGGGCGTCGGAGCATTATACGTAGTACGTAAATATATGGAGCCTACCTTTTTGTTTTTCAATTGAAGGGTAAATCTGGAACTAATTAATAGACATGATATGTCCGAGTGTATGAATGCATGAAAGAAGTCATCGTATTAGGGAAAAAAACATATGAGTCATAGATCGAGAAAGATGTCATCTTTAAATCATATGAGGGGTAATTATCTCTCTATACAACATACTTTATTTGTTTGTATTGTGTCTATAGTCAATGGTAATTCTTTTTTAGAGCATTTTGATTCTCTCTATCACATTATCACATATTTTTTTTTGTAAAGAGTATGGGAAAGGTCATGCACTCATGCGTAGTAGAACACTAGTACTTTAGTTCAACCAAAGAGTTAAGGAAAAGGTATAATTGCTCGTCTTAAAAGGAACACTGCATGATCACTTACCCAGTGGCCAGTACTCTCAAGCTTGACAATTGCAGTTTCCTCCTCCATTTGTACCCATATCATAGATCTACTGCTTTATCAAGATCATATCTTCTTTAATTTTTTTATAAAGGAAATGCCAACTATATCTCGCAACATCTCAATGCTAAAAATCGTGCCATTTTTTTACAGAAAAAGAAAATGGAACACTTATTGAAACCATAATTTCTATAGCTATTACAAACGATAAAGACATAAAAATGCAGAAGCGAAAATAGAATAGTTGTCACTATTGATTATTCGACATACGCAAAATTGTATTATTATATACCATCTTACAAGGATACAGAATAATCACTTAAGTCATCGTCTCCTCTGACCTAGTAAGCGTTTTTCTTGAAGAGATGATTCGGACTTCTTAATTTTCCCAGCATAGAATGATCTTCCTATGTCTTTTTTGATAGCGCTAACTTAAGGAGGGGTAGTGCACTAGTGCTTTCAGCCTTTCACTTTATACACATACATATTACTTAGCTCCTCCAAATCCGTTTATACCCCTCATTTCTCACCTTACACATTACTCAGTCCTGATCATATCCAGATGGAAGTCTGTGATCAACTGTGCAATGATGGGGGAAACTCATTTCGGAAGAATGAATTGCAATGAAGTATATACATGCAAATTCT